AAATCCAACCCAGACTACCCTTGCGTGCTTCATACTCACAGACAGACCCGCTGCCTGTCGTCATGGGCCCGTGTGGGTATAGCAAACACAAGGACCGGATTGAATTATCTTCGCAACTACCTCAGACAATTTGCCGCTGCATCTTTCCCCATATCCCTTTTCTTATTACAAATCCAGATACAGAGAAGCAATCTTAGCAACTGGCACCTTTCAGTCACTAATATCCTGTTAGTACTGAGCGCCTTTGATTCTGCCTCCATCTAAAATATCTCCACATTCTACCCTTTCTTTCTTTCTCCCCACCCCCACTCTTCTTCTAAAAGTCTCCTAAATAGTTTAGCTGTCTCAAATGAAAGTCTTTTCCAGTATTCCTCCACATATTCATCTCCGAACAATCCCTCTCATTTATTAGTCTGACTATGTTCCCTCTAGGACTCCTGGTACTAACTGGTTATTCATATTACCTGGCTTATATTTTGATGGGTTGTCAAATATCAACCTTGATTATCTCCTTGCTTAAACCTTTCAATGGCTCTCAAACATCCCAGGCTGAAGAACAGCACACCGTGGCTTACTGTTCACAGGCCTGGGCCTGCGCCAGGATATCATGCTACCTCTTCTAGCTTCTCTGAATCATCGATTCTTCACTTGGGCCTGGAGGACTTTGCAGGTCCACTGATAAAAGTGAGACTGCGTGAACGTGGATGGGAAAACGACATCTCTAGTTTTGTTAACTTCTAAACATAATTTGGTGTTTCCTTCTATTATAAATGCAGGCAACCAACCGTAGTTGGACCGGCAATGCTTATATGTTATCCCCTACGATGACAGACATTTTCCAATCACAGTACATTTGTTGTTGCAGGTCATTATTTATGTTCATCACTATACATTTCCAATAGTCACGATGGTTAATATCAACCTGCTGGGTTGGGTGCTTGCAATGACCCTTTGTGCAACAGAACGAAACACTGCCTGGTTCTGATGGTGCTCCACTGGAACTGGTCAATGTAAGACGTGAAAAAATAATAATAATTTATAAATTATCAAGGGTTCGTGAGGGAGGGAGGATGGGGGAGGGAGGGAATAAAATGAGGAGGTGATATCATGGGCTCAAGTGGAAAGAAAATGCTTTAAAAATGATGATGGCAACATGTACAAATGTGTTCGACACAATGGATGAATGTATGGATTGTGATAAGAGCTATAAGAGCCCCCATTAAAAGTATTTAATTAAAAAACAACAACCTCTTCATGCTGGACAGTTTGGCGAGGTGAGAAGTTTCTGAATGCCTGCACTTAGGCTGAAATGACAGTGTCTTTGATTAGAATATAAGGAACTTCAAAAAGTTTGTGGGAACATTCCATTATTTAAAAATTTTACTTTCCCCAAACTTTTTGAAGTTCCCTTGTACAACACCCTTCCCCACCTCCCCACTGCCCCCCAACACACATACACACATAAGAAGGCTTCCAAAAGTTGTGGGGGGGAAATGGAACTAAAAGATAATGAAAGATTCCCACAAACATTTCAAAGGCTTCCTGTATATAAAAGATGGTTGTTTCTAGTTTGGGGAGTTGGTCTTTGACTAATTATCTGGGTGTGGGAATGTGGGGGTGTCAGCAGCTGACTGTCTTTCCATAATCGTGTCACCCCTTCAAGTTCCCTGAGCAGACTGGGACATACTTCGTTGATTAATCCGTTTACCACTATTAAATTACAGCATGTTTCCTCTTTTTCATTACAAAGAGTTGCAATAAACTTCCTGTCTCTATATAGTTGCATTTAGGACTCGGGTTTGCGCTAATCTAATAGAGAGCTCACATTTAGCAGTCAGAAGTAACAGTCAATGAACGGCGCAGACCTATTTTGGCAGGATGGCTTTGCATCATTAAATTAAACATTGTCTTGCTTCTCCCGAAATTTAACAAGTATATTTAATGCCATCTTAAAAAATATAACAAAATGAATCACTATAGTTGGAAAGGTTTATTCCTGTGAATGCAGGTTACTGCTAACCTTGAAATGTCTGCCATCTACCATTATACACTCATTTCTCCCATAAAAGTTACAGTAAGCCTCACAGCCCTGACACAGTTACCACAAACAGACCCCTATCTGGGAATGATTACACTTGCATATGGATTTAACTTAGGACTGGAATAAGTTAGCACCTTTCTTTGACCTCCTTCTGAGCACAGCATACAAACAGAATCCAGAAATGATGAGGATTTCACAGCAGCTGGCTCTTACAGGTGGTAGGACCGGCTATGACACAAGATAGGTCTAGGCATCCAGCAAGTGTGACTTTTGGAAGTGAGTGAATTTGGAAGCCAGTCATATTATTAACTGAGAGTTGAGTTGTTTTGTTTTGTTTTTAAATAATTGCAAACTTTAGAACCGAGAACTATTTAAAAACTTAGTTTTACTGGCATTTCACATGTCATACAATGTAGTGGTGCAATCACCACCACTGTCCCTTTCAGAACACTTTCTTCTTCTACTCGCTGTGAGCTCTCCCTTTCCCCGCAACCTCTCCTGCCCCCGCTGTAGGTAACTATTAATCCAGTTACTCTCTCTGTAGGGCTACCTAGCCTAAACTTCATAGACAGAAAATCATGCAAAACACAAACCAACCAACCCACAACAGTGACAACACAAAACAGGGGGGAATCTCAATAGAAAAGGAAGCAGAAAACAGCAAGAACGGAGACAACTTTAAGATGGGAGAACCTAAATGCAATTTTGACAGAGTCACTTATAATTTGACCGAAAACAAAATCCTGCTTTTCTTATCTGTTCACATCCCTGAAGGCCAGGGCCTTGCGGGGGTTCCCCACAGTTAACTCAGGCTTCTTTCTGGTTTTGAAATGTCAATCCCTACATGGTGATTTTTACTTGGAAATATGAGTACAATGGCCCTGAGACAGAGACGAGCATTTTTTTACAAACCCCAATGGGTGAAGCTGCTTTAGGATCCCCCGTTTATCTTTTTGGAAAAAAAAAACCCCATGGTTTTTAAGGACATACACATTCCTTGTTTTAAGATAATTTTAATGGGAGGCTAAAGAAATAGGCATTGACGTTGTAGGCAGAGTTACATTTATGAAGAAATTCTAGACCCAGAGGCGTCACTAGGGTTTTATTTGTGACCTGTCTTTACAGGTCTTGTAAGAGTCAGCCACTCAGTGGACCTCCTTCCCTGTCCCTGCCAGATCTCATAGTTGAGCTCCTCCTGTGAAGCTCTAGACGAGCTCTATTGTCAAAGGAAATATAGCGAGAGCCACATATATAATTAAAAGTTTTCTAATAACTACATTTTAATAGTATAAAGAAATGCCTGAATTTGCTTTGAATGATCTACTTGATATGTACTCAATTACATAATATGATCCTTCTAGCCATAATCCCTGTGGTGATGTACTGTAAATGCTAGCTTCTATGCCTGGTGATTGCAATCCTATTTTGGAGAGAGTTCTTCGTTACAGGATGAAGGTAGGATATATACTTGGTCTTCCATTTACTAGAGGGTGTGACTGAAGCCACCAGCCTTTGTTTTCTCCTTATGGGTCTGTTGAAGGGCCACAAACACACCTCCGTATAACAGTCATCTCAGCAGGAAGAACAGAGAGAGCAATCCCAGGACCCTCAGGAAAGCAAGAGCACTAGTGGAGCCTGTTCAAGATCTCTGCCTGAAGCGGGTAGAGGCAGAGACCAGAGGTACCGCAGGGGCTGCAGCACCGAGGTCATGGAACAGAGGAAAGGAGCCAGGCCAAAAGCAGATGCTGATGCAAGGAGCCCATGAAACAGAGGCCAGGAGCCTTGCGGCTGAGAGGCTGAGGACCAGAGACAGATTTGGCTGCTGGTTGAGAAGAGGTAATGGTGTATATCAGTGCTTTCTGTTTCTGCCTTGTGGTAACCTGCTACCTTCCCAAAATAACCCCCTCTTAATCAATGAATTATCGAACCAAGAAGGATGGAGGGTGGAGGCATGTCTGATCTTGGCCTGCCTATGGCTACAGGAAAGCCAAAGGAGATAGGTTTGGCCTCATGCGATTTACACAATACTTTAGATGATCATTATACTAAAAAAAATATCAACAGTTGTTGATTCAATTCTAACTCGGCATGTATCAGAACAGAATTGTGCTCCAAAGCATTTTCAGTGGCTGATATTTTGATCACAGGCTTTTCTTCCACAGCACTTCTAGGTAGACTTGAACTTCTAACCTTGTGGTTAGCGACTGAGCATGTTACCCATGTGTACCATCCAGGGATCCCATATTTAACCCAATATAGCAAAAACATTACTGTTTTACATTTATATTCATAAACTATTCAACATTTTTTATACCTGGTTTTTGAAATCCATTGTGCATCTTATACCGATGGAATATCCCGATTCAGACCAGCCACAAAGAAACACACTTTGTGTACTGTATTAGCACAGGGCTATTCTGTTCTGAATGGACATACCAATGATGCCAAGCTACCCAAATTCTACAGTGCTCAGACATGCTGTGAACCATGCTTCCAAATGTGTTTGTGAAAAACTGAGCATTTACAGCAGCCTTTCTGGACCTGGTTGTTCAAAAAACTGGTCTTAATATTAGAGCTAGATGTTCTTACTCCAATAGGTAGAAGAGAAGACATATTCAGTCATCTGGTGATATGTAATACTGATTCTTTTATAATATTATAACTTGAGGTTATTCTTAGAACAGGTCCTAGAGAACTGGAGATATGGTGACAAAGTGGAGAAGTACTGATTCTGAAAACAAATTCAGTAAAAATAGTTTGTAAAATGTATTTAAATAACCATAATTTAGTTCTATGAAACGTTCAGGAATTTTGTGAATTTTAACTACAAGTAGAACTCTATTTGAAATCTACAAACCCTTTGGTCTTACAGATCCTAGAGATTCTAGTCTTTGATCCTCAGTAAATACTCTGCCCACCTCTTAGCTTTCTTACTCCCCGGCAGCACTAAAGTGATTACCTTAGATAAATGCTTCTTTATGATTTCATCGTCTCTCTTGACTATTTGCTCCATTTCTTGGGCCCCAAGGTAGACAGCATTTGCTATATTAGAGGGGAGAAAAGCCAGTTAAAATATACAGAGTACAAATGTCAAATTAATTTTAATAAATTCATAATCCTCCATTTCTTATGGCAAGTGGTATCTGGTGTGAGATATCAGTGAGGCAAAGAGAGGCCTGTAAGTCAGGCAGCATGCTGAGTCTCTGGAAGGAGGAGCATGTCTTAATAAACAACAACAAGCAAAAACCCATCCAGTCTCCCTTGGCTTCCATAGTCAGAGAGCTTAGCAACATGACAACAGAATATCAGAAAACAGAGGTGACAACATATACTAGGAGACTTTAGAAATTCAAAGAGAATAAAAAATTGGAACTGAAAGGTAATGAGATTTTTCCACGAACTTTTGGAAGCTCCCGCATCTGTGTAATTGTACCTGAAAATACACGTCGTAACAATTTAAGGTCTAGAAGCATAAAGTCTTCCAGATAAACCATGTATACCAAGGAAACTGCACGAACAGTCACATGAAGCAATATGGCTTTTTATTTGTACTTTCAAGGAAACAACTAAATGCATGCTTATTTGAGACACGTGAAATGCTCTAAGAGCTGTCAGTAAGGGGGAGTCCCATCCTGCTGACTGCAGATGAGCAGAGTGATGCAGAGAAAACGCAAACGTATGCCCCTTTCCTTTCTCCTGTGGGCAGGAAGATTTTTGTCTGATACTTTGCCCTGAAATCCGATTTGACTAGATTATGGCGACTTTGCTGTATTTTCGCGAGCACCTGCTTGACACACCTGTCCTTCCCTGGGTTTTTAACAGCTTGCTATGTTAAGTACATCTCTTGCATTCAGACTATAAATAGTGGATCTCTTTAACCATGTGATTTGAAGGTCTGTCTTTAAATAAAGGGGTTTAGCATATATTCACGTGTATTGAGATGAGAGAAACTTGGACCATCCTGTTTGGCTTACGCTATGCCTTCCTATGATTTATGACCTGTTTCCTAGCCCCCTGCGATGTGTGTTTCCCTTCCTCACTTATTCCTTTCCTTTCTAAAAATTTTCCTTCATTAATAGCCCTGGTGGGGTAGTGTGTTACACGCTGGGCTGCTAACCACAAGGTCAGCAGTTCAAAACCACCAGATGAAGTTGCTCCATGAGAAAAAGATGAGGCTTTCTACTCCAGTAAAGATTTAGAGTCTTGGCAACCCACAGGGGGGTACTTCTCCTATGTCCTATAGGGTTGCTATAAACCAGAATTGATTAGATGACAGATAGTAGTTATCTTTGCTTGAAATCATGTAAAATCTCTGCCTTTTCTATTGCTGTCCAGAATTGATCAGTATCTATAATTTCTCTATCCAAACAAGGCAGGCACATAGCACATTTGCATTTTCTGTTCATGTCTCCCACGTGCCCTAATGTACGGTCCCTCCAATGTTATTGCTGTGGTTAGTTTCCATTGAGCTGATTCTGACAAACGGACGTGTGGCAGTGCGGACCTGCGTCCTAGCTCGTCCAAGACTGTGACCTTGCTGGTGCGCAGCGGCCTCGTTGGGCAGAGCGAACTGCCCCGGAGGGTTTCTGAGACTGTCACTCTACAGGAGCAAACCTCGCCTTAACTTGAAGAGCAAGTTGTGTAGGTGGGCAGGTTTTTACTGGGCAGTGGGCTTCTTATTAGCATGATGACAAATGGTACATCAGGGCCTCCCTATGCCAAACTAGATGAAGTTATTTAGGGTGTGCACTGTATTTACAGACCCCGCCTCGTCTTTCCAGAGGCCGGGTGAGGCCTGGCTGCTGAGGGCTGTGCAGAGAGGCAGGGGTGGGGAAGGTTGACTGACAGACCTGTCTTCAGTGGCGTGTCTTACTCTCACCCTTCCTCTCGCAGGCTCCGGGTTTGGGGTTCTGTAGGGGTTCTTCATGGGAGACACAGTGGGCTCCTTCTTCATTGACATCATCTTCTAAGCAGTGTGTATCACCGCGCTCGCTGTGAAGGTTGAAGTGTTTTATCTGTGCTAGTACGGCAGCCACTTGTGGCGCTGGGCAGTTAAACATGTGACCGGTGGGACTGACAACTGAAATGTTAATTTAACCTTAATTAGGGGAAGCCACTTCAGCTGACCAGTGGCTGCTGGACTGGACAACAGAGTTGTGGGCGATAGCTCTTTATATCTTACTTCAACAAATCTCTTACGCCCCTTCTGCTCACCCTCTTCTATAAACCCACTGACATCTCTCGTCAAACAAGGGCCACTCTCATCCCCTTCTTACACATCAAAAACTTCCTTTAATATAATTTTCATGGGACCTAAGAGTGAAATGAGTGTCATTTTCAATGTAACTGAATACTTTTTTAAAAACTAAAATTTACCCAATTAAAAAAAAAATAATTTAACTTCTTGAATTTACTAGGAACAACTATTTTACCTTAATTACTGATTAAGCTAGTTCCTTTGTTCAAGTTTCTTTTATTAATATTTTCT